CCCGGCACCCCCCGACCCTCTGGAGCACACGTTTCTCTCCAGATGTGCCACAACGGGTCCATGAGCTGACCACCTTCGAGTTGACCCACGAGAAACACAATCCCATCTGTTTGACCAAGAGCCAAATCCATCCTTCTTGTTAAGAGCTGTTCACAAGAAGACATATATATTAAACGACACCCTGCAATTTTTGTCCCAAAACAGGCTTTTTAGACTGCACACGTGTTACGACAGAAAACTACTGCGGTCAGAGTTATTTTTCGTACATAGTGATACTCGATATTCCTCTAGAACACAATCCACTGCAGAAACACATGGCAGGACATACAAAGCTGATTTAGAAGTCTCTTTTAAAGAGCACGTCTGGCCGGCAGAGAGATGATGTTATAAGTAAACACATCAGGTGTGCCCTAACGTGGTTTTGGAAAGCAAATACCCTCAGACTTACCCTAAGGTGGGTTTTAAAGGTGTTGCCTGCCACCAGACCGAAGGGATCGGACCATGTAATACCGACTGACCACCAGGCTGCCCCAAAGTGAGGTCTGAACAGGGGAATGGCCCTTCTCCTACACACCTGAGTGGAATGTTCCCAACCAAACCTATCAGGAAGACACCGAGCCCAGTGCCTTGCGAGCGCCGCATTAACCACTTACGTGGGCACCGGTTCTACCAGCATCGCTTCAAATACACCAACACAGCCCACAGCCCGCAGTGATTTCAGGGCAGAACTGAGCGGAAGACGACAGCCGCAGCCGTGTGAGCTCCTGATGAACCATCGATCCCAGTTCCCGTTCCAGCAGTGCTGAGCCGGCCTGTAGGGACCCAAACCACTGCCCTCGGGAGCTGCGAGGACGCCTCGTATCTTACCGGGACCGACCCACCGAGCCCGCCCGTGCAGGCGGAACGAGGAGGCTTCCTGGCGGGGTTTGGGTTCTTCTCCTCCCAGGGCCCACTGGAATCCTCCAGGATTCCCTTCCCGACACTGGTTCATCAGTGGGCTCCGCGAGGGGAGAAACCCCCCAGCCACAGCGTCTTAGGCAAGCTCACGGAGAGCCAAAACGCCTTGAGCGGGGTGGTGCTTGTAACGGAGACGTGAGAGCACCCTGGAGAAAACTGCAGCGAGAGCTGCTGTTTGGA